TTAACCAACTAATTCTTGTTCTGTAGTTTTATGCTTCTTTCTTTAGTTACTGTTCCTCTCTGATTCATCTGTCACCCATCTTCACTCACTAGGGGTTTTCGCCTCTTAAAGTTTTCAAATATCAATTAGACCCGTGGTCCTTGTATGAACCATGAATCTTGCATGCTATGTTGCTCCAGCTCAGTAATTTGCATTGGACTCTTTGCATGGATCCAAGTCCCAGGCTTGCGATTTATAAAATTGTAAGACATCGGGATTTTAATAAAAAGTTAAAAGTTTAGACACGGTTACAGTGCTACATCTAATATTTGGATTCTTCAATATACATAAATTTGACATGATAAAGTATTCAGAAGTAATGCATTTTCAAGAAATAATGTAAATTATAAATTAAAAGGGACACACGTAAGTAAAATCTTGTTTCTTTGTTAATAAATCATAGTTTTGGATTATTGTTTGTGCCATATATTAGGTTCAGAGATTCTTGTCAATTCCTGAAGGTCCAACACATGTCTTGAGGATGCATAAGTATACCATAGTAACGGAAATGTTTGGGGTAACATTGTCAGCCATTCAAAAGAGAGATGCTGGTGGGGAAACCAAAGGGGTTAGCAATCTTTCTATACCATCATAATGCTGTTTATCCAACAATAAATTAAGCCCTTATTTGAGCCCCATTATTTGGCAAAGAATGCATTTTTAAATAGTAGATTGATAGAGAATGTGAGGTTAAAAAATAAGGTAAAGTTTTGGATTTGCGTGTAATATTATTTTATTGATGAATGTGTAGTTGAAAGGAAAAGAGAGAAAATTGTATTTTGAAAATAATGGGAATCAAACAAAGGCTTAATAAGTAATTATCGTACCGTGTCCTTGGAAGCATAATTGTAGTCGTCTGAAAGGAAGAGCACTTTACTAACTAGATGCAATATGACAAACATGCGATGTGCAGGTTATACGTTCTGCTCGTGCTAATGCAACCCACAATCATGGCCTCGATGGAGATCTTCTTCTTGTTGGTAAATATGGATAATGCAATTTCCTTTGTTGCTTTTTTAATTTTAGTATCTGTTGATTTGTTTTCTCCAATTTCTTGTAGCTGAGGCATTTGTTGGAAAGGGATTCTTCAAGAAAAGGATTTCATACCATTCTAAAGGTAGATCTGGAATAAAAATGAGACCAGAGTGCAGACTGACAGTGGTAGTCAGGGAGATAACCCCCGAGGAGGAGGCTGAGATAGCTAGATTGAGGGTCAACAACTTCCGCAAGCTTACTAAACGAGAAAAGCGATTGGTGCCTCATAAACTTATCGAGACAACCCCAACATGGGCTCGCAAAAGCAAAACGAGGAGTCAGGAGTCTGGTGCTATGGGTGCGTGAACAAATGTTTTTTGTGACACATTGCGGGAGAGCCCCGCCAAGAGAATAATATAGTTTTTGTTTCTTGCTTTTGTTGGGATGTTTCTCTTTTAGCATTTGGAATGTAATCGATTGTTTTGGTTCAATGAAATAGGTTTTGTTTGTCCTAAGCTGTTTTGAGTTACCCAAGACTAATGATTGAAATTTGAACATCCTCTTACGGGTTTATGCATGGCATATTTGTTGTCGGATAAAGGTTATAACTTTAAAATCGTTTTGGAACATGTCAAAAGTAATTGCCGGTGC